ATCAGGCAGAAATAGAAAAGAAAGTGATATACATAGTCTAAAATGTAGACCTTGGATATTTTCCAAAACTGTGCATCAATATCAGCAAAGGTACAAAGGACACAACAGGAATCATATTTCTCAGAGATAAAGAGAAACTGGGATAATGTTCGTTCTGGACATGGTTGAGATTGGAACTATAGATTGTGTTGCATGAGATGCAAAGATTAATGACTTCTGATAAGCAATGGGGAGACACACAACCCTTCCTGATTTTTATTCCTATCTTTTTTTCCCTTACCGTAGCATGATCTTGACCATTGACCCTAAGGAAACAAATATGGATAGATAACACTATCTGCCAGTTTTCTCATCTTGCCAACTGTAAGTTCTGCTTGGCTCTACAAATACAAAAAAAAGTATTACAAATTCTGTACTATAAATCCAGAAAAGGTTCACATGAATATTTGTATGCCTTTTCATGTGCACTCAAAGTACACATTTTTGAAGGCAATCCTTTTCCCACTGAAGCCACATTTTTATATCTATGTTTTCCAAATGTGTGAATTTTAATCCTTTGCTAACATTACATCATTTTGAAAAGGGAGGATTGGGTATGCCCACATGTCCAGCAGGTTTGAAATTAGAATGTAATTTAATCTAAAAATGGGGATGGACTAAAATTCTTATCCATTCCTAACATACCCAGATAAGTTCCAAGAAATTACCCACGGAACCGTCAGGTGAAAGATGGGCGTATCAGCTGTTCTTCATCGTTTCTTTAGTTCTTCATTCATTGCTATGGTACTAAATATGTCAATTTTGGAAAATATCTATACCAACAATGCAATAGCAACAACAATCCCTTTCTGGTCTGTTAATTACACACTCCCTAAAAGTGACAGCAAGAAAGAAATAAATGAATTGAGCCATTAAAATGTCCCAAGAAAATATAACATCTGGCAGCTGAGGCCTCCTACCCATTTGTTTCAAATATCACATCTCCTGGTTTGCATGCAACACAATCAGGCTGCGGGTTGTGGAGTCATTTCAAACATTTAAAAAGCATCCAGTTTCAATTTGCCTCTAGACCCCCCACCCACCCATTTTCCCCCATGTACAGTTAGTGCTGTCAATAGAAATGACACATGCTTCAGATTCCAGAGGCACTCCTGTTCCAAAGAGCTACGCTGACAAATGCCCAGATTAGGAGTTTGGAACAATAGTCATTATTTTAAAAATACTGTACAAATTTTGGATTTTATAGTAATGGGGATTGCTGAGGGGGAAGTAGTAGTAAAGGAATTCTCATTCAACCTATCCCTACCTAGTCCAACTGTTTTTAAGATGAAGTACTTGAACATCAACATGATTTTTTAAACCCATTCTTTAATTCCATCTGAGTTGGTTTTCACTGGTAGCTTTTGTTTCTGTTTGGCTTTTGATGGCTTCAGGAAAAACATTCTTTTAAAAAGCAAGCCTGGATAATAAATGCAAACCAAAGGAGGTGGACATGGATTGCTGTAAAATGAAAATAACTCCAAAGCTTTCCTTCATGCAAACATATTCCCCAAACATCTTATAAGAATGCAGTATGTTTGGTACTTAGTACTGAGTACTAACTTTGGTGACTGTCAGTTTGGTGTAGTGGTTAAGTGGTGTAGTGGTTAAGGCATCAGACTAAAAACGGGAAGACCCTGAGTTCTAGTCCCATCTTATGCACAAAGCCAGCTGGGTGACCTTGGGCACTCAGTCCCCATCTCTCAGCCCTAGGAAGAAGAAGGTAAGGGCAAACCATTTCCAAGAATGTTGCCAAGAAAACTGCAGGGACTTGTCCAGGCTGTTACCAGGAGTCAATTTGGTTTGCTCCCCTTAAAAGGCTGGTAGGATCCTGGATAGCTATTTTGCAGAAGTAGGAAATAATATATAGTGCTGGATATTCCACTTCTCCTACTGATCCTGATATTCCAAGGCCTTGAGAATAAGTGGACAGGGTTTTTTTTGGGGGGGGGGGGCTGTCACTGTTGCCTGACACTGATAGGCTGGGTTTTCATATTTGATTAACCCCAAATGTGGTTTTATTTGCTTTGCTATAATTTATTGTGCAACCTCCACCATTGTTCTGCTCCTGCCCTCAACCACATGATTGTGCAAAGTGATACGGATGGATGCTTCCTTAACAATGTAAATTGTTATTTATTATTCTTATGATTTAGATGGCTGTGGACAGCTAGTTCCACATAACAAACATTTATATGCATTTTACCCCAACAACACTGTGAAATGGTTTGGGTTAAGAGTGAGTAATCAGTCCAAAGTCACGTGATTAAATCCACAATAGGGTAGGTTTTTCAACTTGGGTGTCCTTGGTTTAAATCCAGCACCCCAACCCACTGCAATACACTGGCTTTATTTAGACAAGAGTGGAGAAAAACAACCTATTCTTAGGATCAGTGAGTTGATTTGGTGCTGGGTCACCTGCAAGAGTGCATCTCTCCACTGGATGCAGTTCAACCACTGTGAGTGTGCTGAGAGAGGCAGCTGATTGTCCCCCATTTTCAGGTGGACTGAAGCCCAGAGGTGCTGTTTCTCCACAATGGGGCCAGCTCTCTGGAATGCCCTCATGTGGGAGATCTGATTGGCTCCAATGGTATCCACCTCCTGGAAGAAGTTGAAAATGGACCTTTTCTAGAGAGCATTTGGGACTTGACACCAGGTTTCTCTTTGGGCAGGTTGGGGGGGGGGGAGTGGATAGGTTCTAAGCTCTGCATTGTTTATGCATTACAATGTCTTGCTTGTTTTGGGAGCCACCAAGAGTCTATTTATCATTGTGTTAGGATCCAAATTGATAGATATAGATTAGATATAGATATATTGATATATAGAGACAGACAGGCAGACAGACAGACAGACAGACAGACATAGAGAGATAGAGAGATAGAGAGATAGAGAGATAGAGAGATAGAGAGATAGAGAGATAGAGAGATAGAGAGATAGAG